TTATATGTGGAATCTGAAAAAACTGAACTCACAGAAACAGAGAGCAGACTGGTTTCAGGGGTGGGGGATAGGGAAATGGGTGAAGGTGGTCAAAGGGTATAAGCTTCCAGCTGTGAGATGAGTAAGTTCTGGGGAAGTAAAGGACAGCATAGTAACTAGAGTTAACAGTACTGTATTATTTAAAGGTTGCTAAGAGAGCGGATTTTTAAAGTTCTCATTACACAAAAAATTCTAACTATGTGAAGTGATGAATGTGTTAACTAACCTTATTGTAGAAATCATTTTACAATATATATATTTATAAATCATTATGTTTAAACCATAAACTATCACAATGTTGTATGTCAATGCTATCTCAATAAATCTAGAGGGAAAAAACTTTGAAGGGATGATATAGGAATACATAAATTAATTTTTTAAAAAGAGCAAAAAAAAAATCCCACAAAACTGAGAAAAGGAATATAGCAGAATTATGATATGTGTGTATGTACTAATTTGTATTAGTATGCATTTTGAAAACCTCAATGAAAAGTTTTGTAAAAAACCAAAAACACTGAAATTGACCCAAGAACTAAACGAAAACCCAGAGGCTAATAATGATGAAAAAAACTGGAAGAATTAGAAATTTTACTAGTTATTCCAAATTTTCAAACAACAGATAATATTCATTTCATGAGGCTGGCTATAATCTTAACTCTAAACATAGTAAGCACAGATAAAAAATTAAATAAATATAGAATATGCTTAGAAATGGGTTATACCCTAATTCAAAATGAAAGTCTAGTAAACTGAACACAACAGGAAGTCAAATGACCCAGTAGGTTATTCCAAGAATTATTTAATATTAGCAATCTAGTGATATTACGTATAATATACATCAGTTAAGAAAGCAAAACTATTATGAAAATTGGAACAGATGCTGAAAAAGATTCCAATAACAGGATGTCCCTCTTATAATACGTATTTAACACTGTAGTGGAAGTTCTAGTCAATGCAATAAAGTATGATATAAGCAAAAATAGGCATAACTTTTAGAAAAGAGATTATGTGTAAGGTAATTACATACCTAAACAGATCTGAATAGACAACTATAAAATGTTTAAAATAAATAAGAGAATTCACTAAAGTATTTGGACAGCAAAATATAATGGGAAAAAAATTCTATTTCGAATATCATAACAACAATAAAATAACCCTAAAAGTAATGTCTGGGTCTCAGAATAAATGAAAAACACACCATGATTATGAATGGGAAGAATGATGATAGCAAATGTACTTATTCTCTCCATATGAAAGTTTTATTGTAAATCAAAACCAAAATATTCATGGGACTTTTTTTCTGGAAAACAAGAGCGTAATTCTAACATGTATCCAGAAGAATAAACAGGTGATAGTATCAAAGAAAAGGAGGATATGGATGAATAGGGTGAGGAAGAAGACTGGGTCTATCAGATATTAAATCACAAAGCTATAATAATCACTAACATCTGCATAAAACTGATAGACAACTCAATAGAAATGAACAGATAGCTCTGATATAAAACGGTTAATATTTGATAAAGGAAACATCAAATCAATGAGAATGGTATGGATTATTCAACAAATTATGGAAATAGACTATTCTTCAATATTCAAGCTAGTTCCATTTCTTATTCCATAAACTAAAATGTATTCCAGAAGAAATTAAGAATTAAATGTAAAATAATTACCATTCCTACCAAGTAATTATGGATCTAGAAGGAAATACAGAACATTTAATTGATTTCAAGACAGAATTCTCTAAGCACAATAAGCAACTGAAAAAAATCCAAAGAAAGAAGACTGAGAAAATTACATAAAAATGAAAAACCTGTATGCTAAACAATATGAAGTTATTGAAAACCGAAAGCCAAACAACTAACTGGGAAAACTCCCACAATAAGTACAAAAGTTAATCCTTAGATACACACATATGTAGAAGAGCTCCTGCAATTAAAAAAAATTTCCTTTTAAATAGAAAAAGGACACTAAGAGGGAATTTGAAAAAAAATTAAAATTTCTTACAAATACATGAAAGATATTAACTTCACTAGTAGTAAAGAACAATAAATTAAAGAGATACCATGATCTGCCTCCCAAGCTAGGAAAGGTTTAGAAAATATGACCAATACCTTGTGTTGGCCAGGTTGAAGTTATATTAGTGTTCTTACATAATGTTGGTACTAATTAGAAATTAGTACTTAGTGAAAAGTAATTCTGTAATATGTATGGCGTGAAATAAGTTCTTATGCTTTGATGTAATAATTCCATTTCTAGGAACCTATCCTAGGGCAAGATATTAAAAACAATGTCAATGTCCAATAATCATAGAACTTGGCGCCATAAAAAATTATTTTTGAAAAATACCAAAATGCCTGAGGAAAATGCTCCCAACATGATAAAGTCCTTTTTAAAAGATAACTTACTGCATACATATTACCAGGATTCCAGTTTTTTAAAACAAAAAAATCATATGTATAATCAAAAAAGACTGAAAATAAACAAATGTTCAGAATAGTGTTATAAATATATGGTTTATTTTTCTATTGTGTATTTTCTATAATAACTAGAGAAACTAAACATTATTTTTAAAAGATTATTCTGAAAAAAGCTAAAAAACACAAAAACCAAAGAAGTGAGTAAAGATATTTTCTCATAAAATTTGGTAGTAAAAGGCATGAAAGGGATAGACTATAGCTTGAAAGGATGGTAACTGAGGACAGTTTTGTTTTGTTTTGTTTAAAGAAACGTAACAAGTGTGCTTATGGTAAAGAGGTAAGTAGAAATACAAGATAAAGATGTGGTAACTTTTTGAAGATCCTAGAGCAAGCAGAGAAGGTAGGAGGTAGAAGTACAGATAGAAAAAAAAAAAGGGGTTTTCTGAAACTGAAGGTGAGCAAGAAAAGATGGCTCAATATAGAAATTTTAAAGAGAAGTTATAAGGCGGAGTTGTTTGATATGGGAAAGGAATGAATAATCTTTATTTTGCATTCCTATAGAATACTGCTGGCATGGTAGTTTGTTTCAAATGAATTCCCCAATGGTCAGAATCACTGGATTTAATTAGAGGTGTGACTAATGTGTGTTAAATATGAATGGGTGGAGGAAGAAAGGTTAGGAACTATTGTTCTACCAGACTATCTTTTACATAGGAGGTCAAACATTTGAATTGAATCCTCAGTGAGGTTAGATTAGAGATGATCTTTTGACTATAATGAAGGGCTTAAAGAACAAAGAAGGTTTATAATAATTACTCTGAGAAACAAAGTAAGAAGTAAACAAGGGATAAGAAATTTGCCAAACAGTAGAGAAGGTATTGCTTAAGTAAAGGAGCATGAATCTACAGTAACTCTCTATATCACACTGGTTTGATCATTTTCTCTAGTAATATACTGCTGCCTAGGAGTAGAGAAAGTAGATGTTAAGAATGATTTGGATCAGGGGCGCCTGCATGGCTCAGTTGGTTAAGCCACAGACTCTCAGGTTTTTTTTGTTTTTGTTTTTTTTTTTAAGATTTTATCTATTTGAGAGAGAGAGAATGAGAGAGAGCACGAGAGGGAAGAGGGTCAGAGGGAGAAGCAGACTCCCTGCTGAGCAGGGAGCCCAATATGGGACTCAATCCCGGGACTCCAGGATCATGACCTGAGCTCAGGTCATGATCTCAGGGTCCTGAGATCCAGCCCTGCATCAGGCTCTGTGCTCAGTGGGGATTCTGCTTGAGATTCTCTATCCCTCTGCTCCTCCCCACCCAACTCACACGTGCGTGTGCTCTCTAATAAAATCTGAAAAAAAAAAGAATGATTCTGATCAGAGAATTGATTATAGTCATATATATATACATATATATACTTAAGTGGAAGAATAGTTTTGAGGATGTTAGAAATGGCATTTTTATAGCTGACAATGTGCAAGTCTGCTGACAGGACAAATGAAATCAGAGGTGGGTGGCAGACTGACTGTGGGAACAGAAAAAGCAAAAAACTAGAAACATAAAAGTACAAAACACCAACTGACTAAGATGTGAGAAAGTGAGAAATGGATATTAAGTAGGTTGTGGATTTGAGATCTCAGAAATACAGGTATTCAAAGTATTGCTTTATTAATGTGTTTCTAGTTATACTGCCAAATAATCCCTATCCATAAATTTTATTTAGAGTCTAGATAAGAAAGTAACATATATACATGTCAACCTTACAGAAATTCCAGTTGAGTAATATTTTGCAGTTTCTAGTACTGGTTTCCCAGAAGTCTTGTTCATATACTATACATCAAGAACCTAGATACCATTAAAATAATGATATAACAAGATTTTACACATCAAAACCCAAATGTAAACAGGTACATATCCAAGAGCTTAATGAGAAATCAGATTTATAGCAGTATAGTAACCTATATCCATGTTCTTTGCTCCATTAATATTTTTTGTATGTACTAGCCTTTTTTTTTTTTTTAAGATTTTATTTATTTTTTTGACAGAGAGAGACATAGTGAGAGCAGGAACACAAGCAGGGGGAGTGGGAGAGGAAGAAGCAGGCTTCCTGTGGAGCAGGGAGCCCGACGCGGGGCTCAATCCCAGCACCCTGGGATCATGACCTGAGCCGAAGGCAGACGTTTAACGACTGAGCCACCCAGGTGCCCCATGTACTAGCGTGTATTCACCAGTCATTTCACTTGAGACCTCCAAGACTAATCAAAAAGGGTATATTTGGAACGTCTAACTATGGGAAAACCAAAGGACATTTTTTAAGTTCAGTTAGATTTCTGCCATCAAAAGAATTCTGAAATGCATTAAAAAGGTATAAACTATTCAAAGATACCAAACATTTTAATGCAGCCCTGCATTTTTTTCAAAAAGATTATTTAAAGGTATAAGTAAATCAAATGTTTCTGTTCAGAAAGTCAACAATACAGTACTATTCACACATAAATAAAAATAGCTGACAGTTGCTAGTTATAAATCTGAAGGTCCTCCAACAACTTACCACTGTCTTGAATCCAAGTTCCTAAGTTCTCTAAGTAGTTTCTCATTTTTCTTCAAGAGATGAAAGCTCCTCCTAAATAGAGAGATTTATAAACATTTTCATCACCTTTGCAGTGAATGACATGACAGTCCCGGAAATACTTTCCATTCTACTCATGCAACTTTTAAACACTTTTCTTGCCTTTTCATACTTCTAACACAAAGGAGAACAGACCCTAAAAGAAATGTAAAGAATAAATGTCATTATTTCTACCAACGCCCTCATAGATTTCTGTCAGTGGATCATTACTGATAACTTCAATTTTTCCTTGCAGATGCTGTGAGCTTCTCAAACTCATATCCAGAAAAATGGATAAAAGTACTTGCAGGTTCCTTCTCAAGAGTTTCCTAAAAATATATAAGAAAGTTGCTCCTAATGAGAAATAAAATATTCACAAAATCTAAATCATTATCAAGTAAGCATATGTAATCCAGATGGAATTTGCTTTCTTCCTTATGTTACCTTACAGGTATTTTTTACACTATGAAGCAATGTAGACATTTTACCAAAAACATTCTTTATGTGCTAAATACGTACAAATTATATTCATGAAATCAATGCTTGCTGTGGTAAAATATAGCTTCCCACCTTTAATTTTTCTCAAGAGCCAATATACGGACCATCCTACAGCAAGAGAGAGTAGAATGTACTTACACGAGTGGCAATTACCTACATTTGGACATTCCATAAGGCAAACTGTATTCCTGACATGTCTTCCCCATAAAGCAGAGAATACTCCCTTCTAATAAATGGGTTTAAATTAAGATTATAAACACTAGTCAAGCAAGTAGAACTCCATTTCAGTGCTTCACCTGCATTTAAATTACTTTAAGATTTATTTGTCCAGTGATACCTGAGTTCCCCTCCTACTATAAATTGAACAAAAACAATAAATAATGCTGTGTCTTCCACATCCCTACAGCTTTTAGTATCACAGAAATTTAAAAAATAAATGTATAATGATGCTTTATACTAGTGTACAATTTGGTATTTTATGTACATTATCTAAATTCTCACCATTATTTGAGGTGGGAGTTATTTCCTCAACTTATAGCCTGAAGCTTAACAGTTAAATGACTCTAACCTGGTTCTTCTGATTTAAATCTAATGCCTTTTCATTTAACTCTTACCCAACTTACATGAATACTTTGTGTTAACTGCAAGCTTTTTGCAACATGTGTAAGAAAACAAAATTTAAAAAAATGAAATACAGATTCTTTTCTTGATTTGATGATAAATCTTGAGTTAACTTCTCTGATACAAACAAGAAAAGATCATATTGTTATTTGTCAAAAAAAACCCATTAGGCTTATGTGACATAATAAGAAATATGTATTTGGGCTCTGCCCCAGTTCCTGACACAGAGCTCCTAAAACTCTTGTTATTTCCTGAGCAATGAAGGTGACAGGAACATCTTACATAGAGTTCCTAAATCTCTTGCAATTTCCCTGGTAATAGGAGAATCTTTTGTTCTGATGAGGTGATGCTTGGTGGGCTCCTGGATAACTTTAGGATGGGGCTTGGTCATCCGGAAGCACAAACCATGATTAGAAGCTTGGAAATTTCAGCCACCCCTATGGGGAGGGGAGACTGGCTGGAGACTGAGTTAATAATTAATCATGCCTTTGTGAAGGCAATCCCTAAACCATGAGGTTCAAAGAGCTTCCTGGTTAGTCAACTCAATTCAATGTGCTGGGTCGGTGGCGGACCCCAACTCCACAGGAACAGAAGCTCCTGCACCTGGGAACCTTCCAGACTTCATCCTATGTACTTCTCCATTTGTCTGTTCATCTGTATCCTTTAACTACCTTTTATAATAAACTGCTGAACAGAAGTAAATGTTTTGTGAGCCATTATAGCTAATTATCAAACCTGAGGAGGTAGTTATCTGGTATTTATAGCTAGCTGGTCAGAAATATGGACTTTCAACTGGTGTCTGAAGTGGGGGGCAGTCTTGTGGGTCTGAGGCCTCAATCTGTTTGTGCTAACTCCAGTTAGTGCTGGACCTGCCTGGTGTGGAAAATCCACATATCTGGTGTCAGAAGTGTTATAAGAAAAAAAGTTTTTCCTATTAGCTTACGTGAAGGTTGGAAAAATGAGATTTTTTTTCAATTATATGAGCTGTAATTTCAAAGTCAGAAAGTTCTACTAGTCATTATGAAAATGTTAATAATTTATTGAGTTATCTTTTTATTCCCTTGAATCCTGATATAACTCAGTTGTCTCAAAAAAAAAAAAAAAATCTGTCCAAAAGCCAAAGAACTAATTGGTAGATAAAATTTAGTGGGGAAAAGAAGAGAAACTAAAATGCCTGACCAAAAGATGAATAAGACTAATGTTAAAAAAAAAAAATTTTATTCTTACCTTTTGTCCCAGGAATTCATTCCCAATATACTAAGAAGCAATCTGCAATAATAAAATGCTGACTGAGGCTTTTGAGGTGTTGGTTCATCTTGCTCCACAGCTTTCATGTTTAAGTCATTAAAGTGTTTCTCAACAAATTCTTTTTCCTCTGTGTGCTGCTTAAGGATTGCATTAATAACATCATTTTCCTGTTTTTCAGAAATGCACACAGGTTGTGGAGCAGGAATATTAAGTGAGATTCCAGTTCTCTGTAAGCATTCAGGACTAGTTATACCTAAATACTGCAAAAGCTCATCAAGAACATCTTCTTCATCTCTTATGGTATCCCAAGTTGGTACAGTTTCTCTAAATCCTCTTTTAAACTGGAGGGAAATCCCGTCATTTATTGTTATATCTTCTAAGCATTCATTAGATGTAGGAGGCTCTTCTGGCTTCTCTTGGCGAGACAATGAAAGTACAAGCGACGTAGGTTCTGACAAGCCACTCACAGGAGGTGGTCCATACAGGATAGCAGAATCCCATGAATATTTTCCGGAGAGATCACGTACTATGATTCTAACATTTGAATTGGCTGATGCAAGGCCAGCAGATAAACCTCCTCCGGGTATACTCTCTTCTGATCTGATCTGGATACAGGACACTAAGGTTGTATTGTTCAACACAAAGAACTGGATATTTGGACTCTCAAAGAGTTCAGGAGAAAGTTCAGTACTTTCACTGTAATGATTGTCATGATTTTCACACACCTGACTTGTTAACATAGCAGGACCACCACTCATTGGATAATGGCCCAAGTGATTTACCAGATGTGTAATAACAGTGCGGGCGGCTATAGATATTAATCCTTGTTGCATTTGAGTTTTCACTAGAAATAAGAAATATAAGTGAGTGGGAATACTGCTGCTTCCTAGGAAGTCATGTTAACAATGAAATTATTAGACAACAAATGGAGATTTCCTCACATTATCAAGATCATATTAAAATATTAGAGTAAATATGAATATTTCCAATTCAGATTCTGTACTACAGGAATGATGGCAAAGAAGAAAACTCTCTTTGATGAAGTTTTGTTAATTTTATGAAAAAGCCCTTTTTCAAAATTTTGCTTATGGAGTCATAATTTAAACTTAAGTCTTTATATGTAAATCATACTTTAAAAGAAGGATCGCAAGTATTATAAATCACCCGAAATCACTTAGTACACACATTAGAAAGCCAATGAAATCCAAATGATAAGTTTCTTATGAGTAAATTCAGAGAGACAGCATGCCTTAAATGTCATTTAATAATGGCTTTTATCGATGATATAAAAATTTCAGAGAAAAGTAATCCTTCACTAAACTTTAGTAGGAGTCAGAATCAATTAAAACCGCGAGTTGGTATAGCCAGTATATGCCACAAAAACTTTATTTTAAGGGAAAGCAAATTTTATGGGCCTGCTTATGTATTATATTTTTGTAAGATACTCTTCTGGGTCATTGTGACCTAGTCTGAGCAGTTAGGTAGTATGTAAGAAGCATTTTTCCTTCCTTCCTTAAACACCTTAGGGAAAACAAACAGATAAAGAGGATACCCATATGAGTAATTTTTTTAAAAAAAAACATACCAAAGAGTAAAAAAAGAAAACTCAAAGAATATAGCACTCAGAGGCCTGAAATGTCAGGACCTCAAGGAAGAGGAAAAGGGAAAAAGAAGGCAGAAAACACAGAGAATAAAGGGAGGAAGGAAGAAGTGGAGATAGACAATAACTTGTCAAAGCCCACTAGCCAAAGACTGCCAGTGTGACCCTAAGTAGGGCTGATGTGGAAGCCAGTTCTGAAATAAGTGGTATCAGGAAGTGGAGACAGTTCGGTGAGGATTATCTTGATACTTTTCATCCAGGAGGCAGGGGAAGAGCTGTCATTGGTAAGGAAGTACTCATCATTCACGTTAGGATGTTTAGTTGTGTGTTTGTATGTTTACTGTGTTCTTGTCTTATGTAATTATAGACATGATTGCAGAATGACTGTGTCTCCATAATGTTCTACCAGTCTTAAGAGTGATCTTGTCTGAGTATTGTTTATATTCTGAAAGGATTTTAATCATTTGGGAATACTATGGCCTACCTCCCATAATAAGTCTACATTTGATCTAAATCTAAATCTAGATTTGATCCTGATGATCAAAGCATTATCTACATGTAATAAATTCCTTAGTTTTAAGTGTACTTTGTGATGTATTTTGGTAACTGTACAGAACTGTGTAACCAGCCAACATAATATATAGTAAAATTCCCACATAAAAAAGAATAAATTTTATTTTATGTAAATTATATCTCAGTAAACCCTACTTTAAAAGTTTATAAGGACAGGGGCGCCTGGGTGGCTCAGTCGGTTGAATGGCTGCTTTCAGCTTAGGTCATGATCCCAGGGTCCTGGGATGGAGCCCCACATCAGGCTCCCTGCTTGGCAAGGAGACTACTTCTCCTTCTCCCCCACTTGTGCTCTCTCCCTCTCTCTCAAATTAATAAATAAAATCTTAAAAAAAGAGTTTATAAGGACATTAGCTTGTGCACTGCTCATATAATACTTAAAAAGAGGCAAGAGAAAAGAATAGTGTTACATCTTCAAGGCCACAGCCCTGAAGATTGGAACCAACACACTGGCTACAGGCAGAGATCAGCAAGAAACCAGCAGCTGTGCCATTAATAGCAAAAACATTTTCTTCCATTATTCCAACTCTAAGAAAGAACAGTTTTCTCTGGCCTTTGGTTGATTTTGAAATGTTAGAGTATCAAAATTTTAATCTTCCATTATCAATCAAGTTTGTTACTATATACATATGTATATGAATATTTTTCAGTTTACTTAAAAAGTTCCAATTACATTGAGTTGTTCTTCAATTATAAATATGGCTAGTTCTGAAAATCAGCTATTTAACACTAGATAACACTAAATGATTAACCTTAATTCAATCCTACATTTTTAAGACCATATGCAAGCCAAGTAAAAAGATATGTCACTGTATGATGAAAAACAGAGGGGTGGCTTGAATCTAGTGTCTGCTTTCCCTTCCCTCATAACAGAATTTAATGAACGTTCATGCCTTACACACAATTTAGCCAATACCTGTCATTTTGAACATGAGGACAAGTGGGTACACGAGTTAAGGGATTTATCTGCCATAGAAGAACAAGGCTGGTCTTTTGCTTCCCAGTTCAGTGTTATTTCCATCTTTACCACAACTCTAATTTTCATATTTTTCTTTTTAAAATGCCGCTTTCTTTTGGCAAATCACTGTGACATATGGAAATAATGAATTCAAAATTTATTTTTTCTTTGTATAGTAACTTCAAAATAGTATTTAGTGTAAATTACCATATAAAAGGGCGAGATCAATTGAAAAGCTCATTTAAATAAGACTAAATCACATTTTAAATGGTAATAAAAAATCATAATTAAAGACATTAAAAAATTTTTTGATGTACGAAAAAAATTTTGTTCTTTTTCCTTCTTCTTTCCTTTTGAGTGATAATCTTAAATAGGTGACTTGTTCTATGCAGTGAATCTTTTTTGCAGAGCATTTCTGAAGTGAAAGAATGTAATTTAATAGAAGCAGATCACAAAACAGAGACAAATTCCTGACACTGTCTCTGGTCTGAGCTGTGATCATGGACAAATCACATACAACACCTTAAACACCATTTTTCTCTAAAAATAATACAGATTTCTTATAAAGATGAACTGAAAACTCATATAAAAAATTGGATATAACAGAAGCAATATAAATCATTCAATTTTGAGGGCATTATAAGTAACAGAGGTTTTATGAGTTCCTTTTTCAAACTTATAAATAAACTGCAAGAACAAGCCCCGCTCTTTACCTACAACAAACCGCTAAGCCCAGGTACCTGTCCATCCTATACATCCTCTTCTCAAAGGAAGAGATAGTGGGAATGAAGTTCAAATGAGCTTGTTCACAAATCTGTCATAATTATTAACACTGAGAATACTTAAAAAATATATTTAGATTTTAAATGTAGGTAACAGCATTTTCTTTCCTAAGCTGCTTCTCTTCAGGATATATATAAATATGAGAGGATAAAAATATCTCAGCTTGTTAATTGGGCAATTTTATTTAGATTTTTTTTGAGTTATAAACTATAGAACGTATGTATCTCTCTTCTACATATCTATTTAGATATAAAGAAAATACATGAAATTCTCTAAATATTCAAAATGAAATTCTAAATAACTAGCTTTATGAGAAAATGCAACATGAAGATATCGATGCTTCTAAGGCTTTGTGTAACTGGCATTCATTTAAATAAGTCTATTCAGGGTTGTCATTTCAGATTGTCAGATTAAACAAACCCTACAGCATTTGCAGCAAACCCATAATTACAGATTATTATGGCATACAAAAGCAGCAAGACATAAAAAGCTGCAGCAATTCATTGCACTGTAATAGAACATGCAGAGGAAGTTAATTTTGGCAAATGCTTTAAATATTAGCTTTGCATAATATGTATAGGTGAAACTATAATTAGGACAGAATGAATCCTTTGGAGCCTTTCACTCTGACCCTGCAAATGATGACTTTTTGCTAATAAGACTACTGCCATTTGACAAAAAGCCAACTTTACTACCTTGCTTTATTATTTAGTGAATTTAATAATTACAGCTACTCCTGCCAACAGTTCTCAAATCAGACTTGTTCAATCCAATACTGAGCTTATTAGGGACACTCTATGTTTAGAAACCTTTGGCCAAAAAAGTACTTGAAGATGATGAAGCATGCCTTAGAGAAGGGCACAGTGATTAGTCACTTTGCCATGTTAAAAAAACACAACAACACAGCATGTAGTCACTACAGACCACAGAATCACCTGCTGTTGGCCTACAGCTGTTCCTAAAAGGGTCTGCATTTGTCTGGTCTTTTATATCTTTAAGAAAGTCCAAGGGTACAACTTAATACATTTAGAGAATAATGCTCCAAAGAGTATTTGGTATCAATATAAAGTTCTCCTATTTAAATCTTTACTTTTGTATCTTCTCCAGTGATTATTAATGGTATAGATTTTGTCTGAAATACATTAAAACCTCTCTTTACATAAGTAAACTATTTATTTCACTGTTTAACAAGTGCGCTATAATACCCTCAATCAAACTTTATCATTTTACCCTAAAAAAAAACAACTAATCTTTTCATATAACTTTGTTTTCAAGTAAAATAAACACTCCTTTTTACTATACCAAATCTAAAGAAATAATATGTAAAGTTGCCTACATATCAATTATGGTCTAAATTATTTTGCTATACTATACTTCCCACAGTATATCTTTACTATATCTGAGATAAAATTTATATCTTACATTCCTATTTCACTTGTATACAGCTGACCCTTGAACAATATGGGGTTTAGGGGTGCCAACTGCCCCCCATGCAGCTGAAAGTCCATGTTTAACTTTTGACTTCCTAAAACCTTAACTCCCAATAGCTTACTGTTGACAGGAAGCCTTACCAATGGCATAGCAGGTGATTAACACATATGTTGAACATTATATGTATTATATACTGTATTCTTATAATGAAGTAAGCTAGAGAAAAGAAAATCATAAGAAAGAGAAAATACATTTATAGTAAGAAAACAAACAAAAAAACCCAAAACCCATGTGTAAGTGGACCTGCACAGTTCAAGCCTTGTTGGTCAGGTCAACTGTATTTGTGTTTTGGACAAACTATTAGCAACTTGTGGTCAACCCCAAACTCTAGCCCTATTTCTCTGATGTGTAACTTCCTATCTTCACTTGCATTCTACATCACCAATCCATTATCATGGCCACATCTTAGATGTCTTAATCATTTATAACTATTCCACCTTTAAAAATCAAATTCCTCCTTAACAGCTTACTCTTACCACAATCAACTAATCTAGTGATTTTCCCATTCTGTTTTGTAGAACCCTTGGAGAATGCTTTTGGAGATGGACAGAAGAGAAGTCAGTAGGATCCCAGTAGGATCTGCAGCCCACCCTGCTGCAGCTCTACTTCTAGAAGTTTTACAAATTGGGCTTCCTTGTGAAATTTATTTTATGTAAAACTCCTTGTGAAGGAGTTCTACTGCTTAAAAACTCATTTTAAAAACTACTGTCTGTAAGACTGTTGAATCACAGACCTGTACCTCTGAAACAAATAATGCATATGTTAAAAAAAAAAAAAAGAAGATAGCAGGAAGGGAAAAATGAAGGGGGGGAAATCGGTGGGGGAGACAAACCATGAGAGACTAAGGACTCTGTGAAACAAACTGAGGGTTCTAGAGGGGAAGGGGGGTTGGGAGGGATGGGCTAGTCTGGTGATGGGTATTAAAGAGGGCACGTTCTGCATAGAGCACTGGGTGTTATACGCAAACAATGAATCATGGAACACTACATCAAAAACTAATGATGTAATGTATGGTGATTAACATAATAAAAAAAAACAACAGGGCACCTGGGTGGCTCAGTTGGTTAAGCCACTGCCTTCGGCTCAGGTCATGATCCTGGAGTTCCGGGATCGAGTCCCGCATCGGGCTCCCTGCTCAGCGGGGAGTCTGCTTCTCCCTCTGACCCTCTTCCCTCTCGTGCTATCTCTCATTCTCTCTCTCAAATAAATAAAATCTTTAAAAAAAAAAAAAAAACAACAAACTGCTGTCTTAACATACTGATGCTCTCTGTGATTGTAAACCTCAGCTGCATATTAATCACCTGCAAAGCTTTAAAAAATCCTAGCTATCCCAAAACAAGATTTCAAAATCTCTATGGATGGGAACAGAGCAGCAGTAATATACAACTAAGACTGAGAATCACTGTTCTTTTTTTTTTTTTTTCTTGAGGGAGAGAGAGTGTGTGAGAGATGGAGAGAGAGCACAGAGGGAGAGGGAGAAGCAGGCTCCCCACTGAGCAGAGAGCCTGTTGCGGGGCTCGATCCCAGGACCCTGAGATCATGACCTGAGCTGAAGGCAGCCACTTAACTGACTGAGCCACCCAGGTACCCCTTGAGAATCACTGTTCTAACTTATTACCAATATCTATGTTATGATTCACTGGATCATTCCATTTTCTTCTAACTTATAAGACATTTCCAAGCATCAGTTTAATCCTCACCAAGCCTAAATTCCATGGCTAAATCATATAGGAATACTCTGAAAGCCATAGTTCCCATGTTTTTCCACCACATCCACCTTACTGAATGCTGACTAGTACAACCAAAACTTTGTAGTTTCCATTTTCTGTTGGACTCTCAATAACTTCTGCCAATTCCCTTATTTTACTTCCATTTTCTTCTTCTTTCTGGGTCAGAATAAGGGCTAATATTAGCACCTATACTTTCTAGCTCACTCTTCAGGAACTTCACCATACTAATGATCACCTTCTCATCTTCCTTCTCAGCTTATAATTAAAAGTTCAATTCTCTTCATCCTTAGAACTCCTTTACCCCTGAATTACCCTTTAGCTCACCACTGTGTTACCACTTTTCTTTTTTACACAGTCAAGCTTCTGTAAAGAGTACTTTTGATAAATGGTTCTATTTCTTTAACTACTCCTTGCTCCTCAACCAGCAGCCATCCACTTCTCCCTCCTACTTCTCTGCTGAAATTAAAGCAGACATATTTTTCAGCCTTTCTATATCTGACCTATCACTTAATAACAGTGCCGAGTCTTTTAAATACCCTTTTCATGTTTTTATTTCTCAGAAATTACTCTCTCCCAGTTTTCCTTCCTTTCCAACTTTTCTCAGAACACACACAAACACAGGCATGCACGCATGTGTGCGGACACATGTACACACACACACGAATAAATATTCCTAACAATGACCTCTCTGCTATATCTGACATCTGCATATACAACAAACTGCCTGCTAGTGGTCTTCATGTGTATAATCAACAGGCACCCCAAACTAAACCCTTTCCAACACTGCCCTCCTCATTTTCCCTCTCAAACCTCTAACCTTTCTCATATTCTTGGTCTACTTTGTGGGAAATCTAACCAATTTAAGCCTTTAGCAATTCTTGTTTGGCGTACTGCAACAGCCTCATCATTGGTCTCTCTGCTCCTGCGTTAACCTCCCTAAAACCAATCTAACATACCAAAGATCAGCAAACTCCTTCTGTAAGGGGCCAGATAGTAAAAATTTTCAGTTTTATGGACCACATGATCTTCGCAACTGTAGAACACTACTGTTGTTGCACAAAAGCAGCCATCATGATATAAAAATGAACAGTATGGATGTAAATAAAACTTTATTTACAGAAACAGGTGGAAGACATGGGCCATATAAAATACTGTTTTCAAACTGCTCTTAATACTAAATTTATCATGTATATAACCTTCTTAAAAACCCTTCAATAACTGCTGGTTCCTCTGGGCTACCTCCATAATTCTAAAATGTAGTTTTACTTTTATACTCATATTTATTTATTTACATCTTTCCCTTATATCAGAAAGTAAACTCTCTGAATGTAGAAACAATGTGGCTTAAAAAAAATGTTACTGAGTTCACTACCTATCAAGAACTATGCAAAGGGTTTTACACATCCTATCTTATTCAGTACTCAAAACAACCATGAAGGAATGAATATTATTATCCCCATTTTACAAATAAGGAAACAGAGCCATTCAGCTAGTAAATGAGAGTTAAAATTCAGTACCACATCTGTTAGGCTCCAAAGCTAAATCTGTTATTCCATTATATAAATTCTATGATGTATAAAATATCAAAAAGAACTTATCAGAATAACTTAACTAGAAGTATAAATGGAATGTCATCACATATAATCTTAGTAACTATGTTTCTGAAGTTCTTAAAATAATTTGGTATAATATACATGATGAGGTAAACAACTACAAAGTAAGATATATCATCTCTATTATTTCTACCTATGCCCTCAAATCATATTTTGAGAGAACACAAGAAATAATATGGTCCTGAAGTGAATTCATTTTACCTTCTGTCACTGGCTGAAGCTTAGAAGATCGTTCTGAATCCGGAGAGTGCAGAGGTTCAGGCTCTTTTAGACTTTCCAAATGCATAAAAGGATCATAATCTACAGATGCCAAATCAGAGAGGCTCATTGGAAAATACCTTGGATTGCTAAAACACTGAGCTCCATAAACACACCCATGTAATACCTGGAAGTATGAGGAAAAACATAGTTTTCCTTTTCAGTGAAGATAAATAAAAGGGAAAAAAATGTCAACTGGTAATATAAGAGCTTGACAAAATTTTTAAGCATTTTAAAACTTAGTTCTTCAATCAAGGTAAATTTAATACTTCTTAAAAAGAAGAATGAATAAAATTTAACTAATGATTCTCACATTCAACAAATATTTGACTCCTTTCACAAATCTGCAGTGAAACAACTGTGTCTTGTAGGAAGAAGTTTTAATTATCCTTAGGTCCTGTAGGATAAATCTACATTCTTAGAAAATACCTAGCTCTAAAAAATAAGAATGTAATACTAAGAAATATGATTTCTTTCAGTTTTAAAAACTGTTGGTTACCAAATAAACAATAAAGCAAACAAGTTGACCTTATAAATGCAATTGAGGACAGATTTTTCTATTTTATCATTTTCTGCTCCTGTAGCATGGACTGGTTGGAGCAGTGTCTTTAGAGGTAAGGCCATAATCCAGTCCAGAAGGCACAGAAGTAAGGACACCACCAACTGTAACAAGAACAAAAGACAATTATTATTGTAAACTCATAAAATAAGACCTTAATATTTTTAACAGAAATTCACCAACTTACTTTTTGTCTTCCAAAATTTATTTCAGGAACTATCAATCCTAATTCTACTATGAATATTTACTTAGATCTAACTGATTCTAAGATATTGTATGTGAGTATTATTGTGGGTTTCTTCCTTATATTTTAGAGCCAGTACAATGAAACCTTAAACATAATAAAAACAGGACTACCAAAATTACTTTAAAATTACTATAAAAACACTGAGCTTAGGGGCACCTGGGTGGCTCAGTCATTAAGCATCTGCCTTCGGCTCAGGTCATGACCCCAGGGTCCTGGGATTGAGCCCCGCGTCGGGCTCCCTGCTCAGTAGAGAGCCTGCTTCTCCCTCTCCCTCTGCCCCTCCCCCTGCTTGCACGCTCTCTCTCTGTCAAATAAATAAATAAAATCTTTAAAAAAAAAACAAACACTGAGCTAAAACGAGGACATCAATTAGTCGACTATTTAAAACTGTTCAAGGAATGCAACACAAATGAAAGGTTTGAGTTCATAATATATTACAATCACTTCTACATTCCTTTTAAAGAACAAAAAGAACCAATAAAACATTACAAAACTGATATCGTCAGTACAACCAGAAAATAGAACATCTAAACTTCAAATTATCTGTAGGTAGAAAGTACAAAGCAAATCCCAGCAAGCTTTTCCCCACTCCCCCATTCAAACTTCCATGAAGAGCAAGGGCAGTTTGGGAAAAACTGTAAAAGAGAGAAAAGAACTAGGTACAAACCTAAAAATCAAGCCAGAAAGAAAAAGTCAAAGTGTGAGAATACTGTGGTTAAAAAGGACTTAAAAGTACACACACAGGAAAGGTAATGTTTTGGGGGAGAAGAATTTTTAAGAGGGAATAGGGAGACATCCTGTGGAAATCATGTAGTAAAAAGAAAAAGCAAAAGAGAAATTTAAGACTTAAATTTTAAAAATTGTGGACGTGCGGCACCTGCGTGGCTCAGATGGTTAAGCGTCTGCCTTCAGCTCAGATCCTGATATCTAGGTCCTGGGATCGAGCCCTGTAGCAGGCTCCCTGCTCAGTGGGAAGTCTGCTTCTCCCTCTCCCTTTGCCTCTCCCCTACTTGTGCTCTCTCTGTCTCTGTCTCTCTCAGATGAATAAAATCTTAAAAAAAAAAAAGGCTTAAAAAATTGTGGACCTACAACTTCTTAAAAAGCATCATCCAATAAATTGATGGTCCTTTAATTCCTCTCCTTAAAAAGACAATAAACACACTATACTTTGTGGAACTACCAGAAGAGGGAGCTCTTGAAGTAGGAATCTTGTAAACCGTCCCAAGCCACCAATCTTGCCCACAAAAATGAAGCAGTCTTCATCTATATAATTATAAAAACAAAAAATGAGAATCTAAGCAATTCAGCTGATGAAACCCCCACACAAAAAACACAATTATGAAGCAGAAGAAAACTACAACATTCTAATCTAAATTAGAAATTATCAAACAGCATTTAGATATGGGGGACAAAGAAATCTTAAATCTTAAATCAGAAATCAAAAACTAAGAAGAAATAGACCAAGAAAGGAAGAATCGTTTCAAGTCAGGAAAAGAAGTAAAAGGACAAAATTTAGAAATGAAGCCTAAATTATAAGGTGCCTAAGGAAGAATAAATTTGAAAAAAACAAAAATAAAATACAAATAAATAAATATAAATAAAATAAAAATAAAATAATACAGGGCACTGAAGAACAGTGGGGTAACAACTAAAAGAATAAAAATGAGATTTAGAAAAAGATAAAAATTGTCAGAAAATGATTGAAATAGAAGATAGAAAAAGAATATCCAATTTACATACAACTGGAGTCTCTGAAATACACATGTTAAAAAAGTCCATCAGAAGCCAGGATAAACTGACCTGCAATAATCAACTCTAACACATATCCTGATAAAACTTTAAAAGTAAGACTTCAGACATAAAGAAAAAATATCCTTAGGGCCTCCTAGAAAAAAGATGAAATAATTTACAAGGGCAAGAGAATAAAATTGGCATCAGACTTCTCAAAAATAATGCACAAAGCAAGGCAACATTAAAAGAAATAAATTAAGGTAAATGTCAATCTAAGGATTCTATATCTAACCAAGATGTTTCTCAAGTATCAGGGTTACAGAAAAAGTTTTAAATAAACAAGCACTCAGGGAATTTTGTATTCATGAGACTATCTTGAAGAAGAAAGATGAACTTCATCCAACCAAGTAGCAAAAAGAATGGGAAGTATCTGCTTTATTTAGTTATAGAGCTAAGATTAAAAAAATAAAGGTAGAGATGAGTGGGGAAGAATCATTTATTAAATGACATATGCTATATGTGATATGTAGAAATAAAGTAACTAAAAATGGAGGCGAAAGAGAGTAAAAATAAAATAAGTTCATTTATTAACATACAGACAATAGATAGGAGAGAAAGGATACCATTAAATAATCACAACCACATAAAACGTGTATTAAAAAATAAGAGCTTACTTAAGAAAGCAAGGGAATAAGGTATACACAGAAAAGTAATTTTAAAAAGGTATACACAGAAAAGTAATCAAAAGAACAAAGTATAAAATTTCCTGAATACCAAAAGGAACTTAAAAAAATAAAAGAACAAACGAAATATATCATGTAGAAAAAGAAACACAGAAAATGCAATATGCAAATTAGAATTAAATCAAAAAGAATTAATGTTAAAAGTTGCAATTCAAAATGTTCAAAATAAAGATAAAACATTTATGAATATCTATGTATCAAATAACATAGTGACTATCTTTACAAAGCAAAAACTACAACAGATGCCAAGGAAATACAGAAACATTAAGGAGACTTTAACACACCACTCTCAGTATAAGACAGATCGAGTGGATAAAATACAGGCATACTTCATTTTATTGCGCTTCACTTTACAGATAGTGCATTTTTTTATAAATTGAAGGTTTCTAGCAATCCTGTGTTGAGCAAGTCTATGAGCACCATTTTCTGACCACATTTGTTCACTTCATGTCTCTGTGTCACATTTTGGTAATTCTCACAATATTTCCTACTTTTCATGATTACTATATTTGTTATGGTGATCTGTGATCTTTGATATTATTACTGTAATTGTTTGGGGGTGCCACAAACCATGTCCTTATAAGACAGCAAACTTAATCAGCAAACGTGTTCTGACTGCTCCACTGACCAGCCGTTCCCCCATCTCTCTTCCCGCTCCTCAGGCCTCCCTATTCCTTGAGACACAACAATACTGAAATTAGGCCAATTAATAATCCTACAATGGCCTCTAAGTGTTCCAGTGAAAGGAAGAGTCACATGACTCTCACTTTAATCAAAAGCTAGAAATTAAGTCTAGTGAGGAAGGCATGTCGAAAGTCAAGACAGGCTAAAAACTAGGTTTCTTGCGCCAAACAGCCAAGCTGTGAATACAAAGAAAAGCTTTGAAGGAAAGTAAAAGTGCTACTCCAGTAAACATGAATGTTGAGAAAGCGAAACAGCTGTATTGCTGATAAAGAGAAAGTTCTCTGGTCTGGATGGAAGATCAAACCAGCTGTAAAACCCCCTTAAGTCAAAGCCTAATCCAGAAGTAGGCCCTAACTCTCTTCAATTCTATGAAGGCTGAGAGAGGTGAGGAAGCTACAGAAGAGAAGTCTGAAGCTAGAACAGATTGATTTGTGAGGTTTAAGGAAAGAAGCCATCTCCATAACATAAAAATACAAGGTGAAGGAGCAAATGCTGATATAGAGGCTGCAGCAAGTTATCCAGAAGATTAGCTACACTAAACAACAGATTTTCAATGTACACAAAATAGCCTTCTATTCAAAAATGCCATCTAAGACTTTCATAGCTAGAGAGAAGTCAATGCCTGGCTTCAAAGCTTCAACGGACAGGCTGCTCTTCTGATAGGAGCTAATGCAGCTAGTGACTTTAGTTGAAGTCAGTGTTTATTTACCATTCCAAAAATCCTAGGGCCCTTAAGAATTATGCTAGATCTATTTTGCCTGTGCTCTATACATGGAACAACAAAGCCTGGATGACAGCACATCTGTTTACAACATGGTTTATTGAATATTTTAAGTCCAAGAGCTTTGATGGAGATGCACAATGAGATTAACGTTGTTTTCATTCCTGCTAACACAACATCCATTCTGCAGCCCATGGATTAGGGAGAAATTTTTATTTCAAGTCTTATTGTTAAAGAAATACATTTCAGAAGGCTACAGCTGCCATAGATAGTGATTTGTCTGAAGAATCTGGTTAAAGTGAATTGAAAACCTTCTGGAAAGGGTTCACCACTCTAGATGTCATAGAGAACATTCATGATTCATGGGAAAAGGTCAAAAATATCAACATTAATGGGAGTTTGGAAGAAGTAAGTGATTCCAAACCTCATGGATGACTTTGAGGAGTTGAAGATTTCAGTGGAGAAAGTAACTACAGAATTGGTAGAAATAGCAAGAGAACTACACTTGGAGCCTGCAGATGTGATTGAATTGCTACAATCTTCATGATCAAACTTTAATGAATAAGGAAGGAGTTGCTTCTTATGAATGAGCAAAGGAAAGTGGCTTCTTGAGATGAAATCTACTCCTGGTGAAGATGCTGTGAAGACTGTTGAAATTACAACAAAGGATTTAGAATACTACATAAACATAGTTGATAAAAGTGTTTGAAAGGACTGACTCCAACTCTGAAAGTTGTTCTATACTATGGGTAAAATGCTATCAAACAGCATTGTATGCTACAGAGAAACTGTGGGAAAAAAAGAGAGTCAATCAATGTGGCAAACTTCATTGTCTTATGTTCAGAAATTGCCACAACCACCCCAACCTGCAGCAATCACCCTGATCAGCCATCAACACTAAGGCAGGACCCTCCACACTAGCTAAAAGATTACAATTCACTGAAACCTAAGATGATAGTTAGCATATTTTTGACAATA